CAGGTGCCCACAACAATGCCTAGCTTTTTTTTTTTTTTGGTTGCAGCTGTCGTTGTTTGGCGGGCCCAGGCTGGATTTGAACCTGCCACCTTAGGTATGTGGCTGGCACCTTAGCCACTTGAGCCACAGGCACCGAGCCTAAATTTTATATCTATTCTGTAGGGAGCTATTAATGATGATGTTTATTGCTAATAAAATTTTGAATTTTATAAATATTTAGAACCCTTTTGAGAAGATGCCTTGAATGTAAAAACGTTTTCTCAGACAAAGACCCATAAAGGCAATTTAAAGTATTTTCTTTTTTTTATCTTTTTCTTTTCTGTTTGAATTGTTGAGAATGAAAGCTTGCAAAAAATTAGTTTCTACAGCATTTTAAGGGCATATAGTATCTAATGTTTGGCTGACATTTTCCAGAGACAGAATTCAGCATACCTCATAAAATTTCAAGTGATCAGCTCTCATCTGAAAACCTAAGTTCAGCTGTGGGACAAAAGATTGCCTCTCCCAACCGAATTCTCTCGGATGAGAACAGTTATGCTACCATAGTTGTTGGTTTTCCAGATCTCATGGTAAGCATCAATTTTTCAAACTAGTGAATATATATTTCTTACCCTCAGTTTGACTTTGATCTATTGATGTAAGACTGTTTGGGGGATAATTAAAAACATAATAAAATTTTTGGTAAACATTTTAGATCAAGTTTGCATTATAAATCAGTCATTAAAAAATTTATTCTACCTATATAATTTCATTATTTAAAAAAACTAACAGCTCAGGTATAATACAATGATAGATCTTATTAAGGAGACATGAGTGTTCTCTGTATGTGGGAGTTAAATGCTGTAACAGTTCAACCTACTGGTGGTGATTTTGTGTCATGTCATCTTAATGTGTTCTCAAGAGGAGTAATCTGAGTGTAATAAAGTAGCATGTCTGGAATTGTGTAAAGTTAAATTTGTTGAGTTGTCATTGCTGTAGATTAGGTTTTCAATGCTCATAAACATCAATTCACTTTTTTTTATTGTTGGGGATTCATTGAGGATATAAAGAACCTGGTTACACTGATTGCATTTGTTAGGTCAAGTCCCTCATATTTCCATTGAGATTTGCTCCGATTGTCCAATCTTTGCAGCATCCAGGTTATACTGTAGTTGCTTATGGTCTCAACTTATTTTTCTCTTCAATGGGCCCTTCTTCTGTTATCTACTGTTATAAAGGACAGGCTATTTGTAATTGACTTCAGGTGAAACTGAGTACCATCTACCCCTGAAGGAAATGTGAAAGAATGAAATATAAAAGCTGCTTCAGTCTAAGTTGCCATCTAATAACCTTAAATGTAGTTCCATGTGTCTTGATTAAAAATGTAATTGTCATAATTGCATTTGTAACATTGAGGTGAGTGATAGAATCATATAAAGATAAAAATATGGGCTCTGCTTGATACCACACCAATCTCATATGTCTCAAAATGTTAATGTAATTAGTGAAGAGTGCGTATTTCAGGTTATAAAGCATTTGAAATCTAAAACCCAGTGGTTAATGTGTGGCTTGGGACTTTTCTATGTGTTTTCCTAATTGCGAAGTACAAAGCTTGTGCTATCATATGATACAACTCAAAAGGAAATATTTTGTTGGAATACAGTGTCTACAGTAGCCCTGAGTGAATAAAAGAGAGTGTTTAATATGCTTTCTACAATGCTTACTGCTATGAGTAGTAAAAATATTAGAACTTTTTTCCTGAAGGTGAAAGTATTTTAAAAATTGATCTTCTAATCACCTTCTTCTGATTGAATAAATTAGCATAGAAATAAAAATGTTGTCATAAAAAAGTTAGAAAAACTAAGTATAAGGCACTGTCTGTATTAACCCTACAAAAATCCTGTGTAGTTTCTAACACTAGTGACCTTATTTAAGTTAAAAGCCATAGCCCGGCTACTTAGTATAGTACCCACCACATGGAGATATTCAGTGAGTATTTATTAAATGGAAGGTTAGATTCAGTGAGGCAGCCTTTCAGCCTTTATGATAACAATCATAGTTTTTAAGCCCCAGTACAATAGTCAGGTTCTGTGCTATTCTAAGCCCTTTTAGATGTGATACTTAATTATTGGAGCAATTCTATGAGGTTTTACAGCTGAAGAAATAGAAGTTATATTCCCCAGCCACAAAGATTAAAAATAATGGGGTTTGATCTCAAGTGTGACTAGCCTCTCACCTACATCCTTTCTGCCACACTACACTGCCTTTCTGCTTTTATGTGAATTTCTTTGGGTTCTCTATAAAACTGTCAACAAAGGGGTATACACATTTTTTAACATAGCTTCATTGTATAGGGTATCAGTGGCACCTACATTGTTATAAATTTATATAACTTCCTTAACCTAATGCCAAATAGCTATGAAAAACCTATAGCAAGTATCATCACCAATAATGAAACATTGAAAAAATTCCTGTTCTTATCAAGAATAAGATATGCACCATCACCACCAAGTGTCTTCGATATGATACATAAAGAAAAAATTGATAAATTGTACTTTGTCAAAATTAAAACTTGAGCTCTGATAAAGACACTGGTGAGACAATGGAAAGACAATCTACAGGCAGTATATACAAGTCACATTTTCAATGAAAATGGTATCTAGAATATATAAATATTCTTAAAGCTCAACAGTAACAGAACAACCCAGTTCTTAAAATAAGCAAACTAGTATGAGGTGTCAGAAGTCAGAGCCTAAACAAGATAAGAGACATCCATGGTGTGTAGAGGGTAAAGGGGTGGGGAGAGGTTGGTGACCACTGATGATGGGCGTCCAGTCCAATCCCTGTGAGGGGCAGCATGGCATGGGATATAGGATGTAGGATTCTGCGTAAGTCTCTGTGTGAGGGTAGACCAGTGTGGACTGTTGGGACCCAATCAGGGAGAACAGAGCATCTGTCCAGAAGATGAAGTCAGTGGTGGAGATGGGTTACACACAGGGAAGGTCATGCATTTTTATGGAAATCCAAGGACAAACAGTAACGAAGACATCCCTGAAAAAGAGCCAGTTACTCTTCTTGCTAAATTTCAAGGCTCATCGTAAAATCTCCATAACGAAGGTTTTATACGTAGGGGTAGAAAATGCACAGTTGAACAGAATGTAGTGCCTGGAAACAGAAGCATGCATATAAAGAACCATTTTTAATGATAGTATTGCAGTGGGCAAGAGTTAGTGGTATTTGGACAATTAACTGTCTGTGTGAAGAAAGGGTGAACATGGGCCCTGCCTCATGTCGTTCACAAAAAATACATTCCCGATCGGTTAAGGACCTACATACGAAAGACAAAACCTTCAAATGTTTAGAGAGAACATAGGAAAATATACTTGTGGTCTCGGGAAGGAGCATATATAGTAAAATTTTAAAGTGAAGGGACAGAAAAAGTAACACAGAATTCTAGTATAGTAAACGAAGAAGAGACAGGGGAGACGTGATCAGGAAGGGGCACTGCAGGGACTCAGAAGTGTGAGCTTTATTATGTTCTTTGTGCCAGATAGAATGCATATGTATTTGTTTTACTATTTTTAAACTAACTATTAATATATTGCTACCATCCCTCTTTTTAGTTGTAATTTACTTTATCAGAAAGCAATTTAACTTGTTATTTCTCACTTGTCTGAAAATTGTGATGATTGGTGAAGTAGCTGTGTACTGTGCCCCATTCATAAAGGCTGAGGATACTTGTGAAACCCCTGCTTACCACTAGTCTGCGAAAAGGGTTGCAGTGCTAAAGTTGTGGTGAATGTAGTATACGGTACGAGAGTAATCTCTCTCTTTTTTTTAATCAGTCACCCAGCGAGGTTTATTCTTGGAAGAGGCCATCATCTTTGCATAAACCCAGTGTCACTGACACGGCATTCTACGGTGGAAAAAAGAAAAGTGGAACTCCGAAACAAAGCAACTGTGTGACTCTTGTAGAGACTAATCAGGTGGTCAGGATTGTGCCTCCAGGACAAGTCCCTCTAAAAGATGTCTACCCTAAAAGTAAGAAATTTACCACTTTTTAACTTGTCACGGTGGCTAAAGGTAGCTTGCTTTTGGTAGGGGATGTTTAATTCATCATTCTCATTTTACATTTCTAAAGGTGGATCATTCTGACAAGTCTACAAGTAACTCGGAAAACCTACGTGTGGTCATAACGTTCGCACTCATTTTCACAGTGTAGGATTGTAGCCATTGCTTTTAGAACTTGTCCTCATTCTCATTGTAATCGATACAATAATTTTACTTAGAGGGGGTGTTTTACTTAGAGGGTCTGTTTACTTAGAGGGGAGTGTTTTTAAAGAGTCTTTAAAATATGATTATGATTTAGAAATAGAAATGGGGGCCTGACTTTTTTCTTAAATTGCTAGTATTGGGCTGGGCAGTGAGACTCAGGCCTATAATCCTAGCACTCTGGGAGGCCAAGGTGAGTGGATTGCCCAAGCTCAGAAAGTGAGACCCATGTCTCTACTAAGAATACAACAACTAGCTGGGTGTAGTGGCAATGCCTATAGTCCTAGCTACTCAGGGGGCTGAGACAAGAGGATTGCTCAAGCCTAAGAGTTTGAGGTTGCTGTGAGCTATGATACCCCTGTACTCTACCCAGGGCAATAGAGACTCTGTCTCTTAAAAAAAAAAAAAAATCCCTAAGAGTAAAGGCCAGGAATTTATTATGCAGACTGATTCACTTATTGTTCTCAAAAATCAACTTCTGTTTATTACTATACAAGCCCTGTGCTGGTCCTTTCTTCTTATATAAATTCACTTAATCTTCAAACCCCCTCCTATTGTTACTATGCTTTCTAATTTATATGTGAAAACATCTTAACACAGAGGTAAAATAACTGACCCGGATCATTCCACCAGTGACCAGCAGAGCCCAGATTTACACCATAATCATCTGATCTCGGGGCTAGAACTATTCTTGTTCAATCACGCTGGCATTCATCCTCATGGATAATTATGAAAACTTTTGGTAATTGAGCCATTGACTGTTAGTTTTTGCATCATGATGGTACTGATATCTTATCCTATGTTTATATTTTTTATATTCATGTGTTCTTCACAAATATAATGCTAAATGTATTATAATAATCTATTATCACATTTGAAGAGTCTTGGTTATAATGATAATGTTTAGAATTAGTTCTTTCCAAACTGAAACTCATGGAAAATAAATCACCGCTTTCTTACAAAATAATTTTTTTTATGGTAGAAAACATCCTGACAACTACAATACAGTGTAACAAATGCTATGATAGGAGTGTTCACAAGGTGGTACGTGAACACAAAGGAGAAGCTTACGGCCAGACTTGGAATTATGAGTAGATTCTTGGAGATGCCTAGGAGTTGAAGAAATTGGTCCAGGGAAAGGGAACTGGGAAAAGTGCAAGGACTTGGCAAAGCGTTCCAGGAATTACAAAGTTCAGTACCAGAGCATAGTGCACCTTCATTGACCCAGAAACCTGGGCCTCATTGTCGCGACCCGTTGGGCTCCTATGGCGCTGGTCTCGGTTAGCGCAGGAAGGAACCAGGCAAGAGGCGGATTAGGAGTACAAGCTTGTGGAAGGCGGGCTAGCCTTTACTTTCCGGGTAGCTCCGAGCAACCTCCGCACCAGCCTTTTATTGAAACGGAATGATACAGGTGAGGGGAGTAATTAACAATGACAACATGCTGAGGGCACGGGCTCTTCCACAAGGAACTCCTGTGGAGGAATGGCCCGCGGTCCACACCTCAGCTACAGATCATCTTGCTCAGATGTCATCTGGCTCTTGGCGTCTCCTACACCTCATCTTATTTATCCCTCTTCACCATCATCCTCCACATTTGATTCATAGCCATCACCTTCTCCTTCTCATATAACCTTGCTAATAAATCTTGTATCCACCCACTTGTCTCCAGTTCTACTGCCACATCCCATCCAAAGCACCACCATTTGAACTAGAATATCACCAGAGACTCCTGACAGTGTCACCTCTTCCACTCTTTCCCCCTCCTACTCATTCTTCATGTGTTAGAGTGAGATAGATATATATATATATATATTTTTTTTTTTTTTTTTGAGACAGAGTTTCACTATGTTGAGTGCTATAGTGTCACAGCTCATAGTAACCTCCAACTCTTAGGCTTAAGAGATTCTCTTGCCTCAGCCTCCCCTGTACCTGGGAGTACAGGTGCCCATCACAACGCATAGCTCTATTTTTGTTATTGTAGTAGTTGTTGTTGTTTGGCAGGCCCTGGCTGGGGGGTTCTAACCTGCCAGCTCCAGTATATGTGGCTGGCACCCTAGCCTCTGAGCTACAGGCACCAAGCCCAGAGTGATATTTTTTAAGTACAGTATACATTTCTTTTTATTAAGGTCTAGTTTATGTACAATAAAATTCACCCTCTTTAGTGCATAATTCTGTAAGCTTAACAAATACAAATAATTGTTTAACCACCACAACTGATATAAAGAATTCCATTGTCCCAGAAACCTCCTCCATGACACTTTGTGGTCACCCCTTCCACCTACCCTGTGATCTGATTTCTGTCCTTATAGATTTGCCTTTACCAGAGTATCATATAAATGGAATCTTACCATATGTGATCTTTTGAGTCTGGCTTCATACACTTAATATAATGTGTTTGAAAATCATTTATGTTGTATGTACTAGTTGTTAAGTGGTGGTCTGTTGTTCAAATGTATCACAATGTGTCTATTCATAATTGAAAGATATACAGATTGTTTCTCATCTTTGACAGTAATGAGTACATCCACTATAAACATTTGTGCACAGATATTTCAGTGAACATTAGTTTTTGCTTCCCTTGGGTAAACACCTAGGAACAGCATTTGTACATCATACATTAACACTGCCAAACTACATTCCAAAGCGGCAGTGCTGTTTTGCATTCCTCTCAGCAGTGCATGAGAGTCCAGGCGCCCTGCATCCCTGCCAGTACCTGATATTGTCAGTTCTTTACCGTTCTAGTGGGTGGAGAGTTATATCTCATTACGATTTAACTTGGCTTTTTCCCTGGCACCCCATCAGGTTGAGGATTTTGTCACATGGATCATTTTTTGTGAAATATCTCTCTAGATCTTTTGCCTATTTTTAAATTGGGTGATTTGTTTTCTTAGTAATGAATTGGAGCATTCTTTAAATATTCTAGGTATAAGTCCATTGTCAGATATACATTTTCTAAAATTTTCTCCCATTTTGATGAAGGACAAATCTTCTATGTGTTCTACTTAAAGATATAGTTTTAGATTTTACATTTAAACTTATAATCCATTTTGAGTTCAATTTTTACATGGTACAAGGTATGGATTGAGGCTCTCTTTTTTTCACATGGGGATTATTCCGTTATTTCAACACCATTTGCTGAAAATACTGCACTTTGTTGAATTGCTTTCAGGCCACTGCTGGAAATCCACTGCCTTCAAATTCATAGGCTCATTTCTGGATTCTATGATCTCTTGTGTGTCTATCTCTATACCACTCTTGATTTCTTTATAGTTCTATACTTTATAATAAGTCTTGAAATCAGATAGATATTCCTTCTTTGTTGTTCATTTTCAAAATTGTTTGGAAATACTATTTTAAAAATATGACCCAGGTTACGTGATTCTTGGATGAAGGTTAGACATGTTAACTTGGCCTAACAGATTTTGTCTGTTACATCTTTCTGGCTCTCTTTCAGCTAACTTGAATTCTCGAAGTTCCTTCCAAACCTTCTTCCGTACCTTGCTCCTCCCACCCTCAGCCTCTCATCCTTCAGAGCTCAGTTTACACATCACTTCCTTAGAAGGCCCCATCCAACTCTGCGTTACAAGCCCTTGCTATACTGCGGCATAGCACTTCCTGTTTAAGGACAGGAAGAGTATGTTTATGTTTGTATGTGTATTTTAGTTTTTCACAAAGTGTTTCAGGCCTACTTTTTTTTTTCTTTTGGCATTTTTAAAGAAAAATACAAAGAACATCTTTTTTCCCACCACCCACCACCACAATGGGCAAGGATTCGTGTGTTCTCCTCTCTTCCATTTTTGACAGACCACGAGTAGTCTTTCCTGAGTTTGAGTTTGGTATTTATTGTTCACAAACTAATATATGGTATTATTTTGCATGTTTTTAAACTTTGTATAAATGGTATCATTCTGTGTTCATTCTTCTGTAACTTGTTTTCTCTTTCTACATCAAGTTTTTGAGATTCATTGTTAAAGAAAAAAATTATTCATGATTTTTTTTTTAAAGAACTGAGTATAATTCAGTCCTGTTATATTAAGGACTATCTCAGTACGTGTAGGGACTAAGCAGTGACATTTTCTAGTAGGAGAGACTTGTGCTCAACTTCACATAGAATAAAGAAAAGTAGGAATTTATAGTGAAGGAGCAGGATAGGGATTAGTCAATGGAAAATCAGTAAGAGGAAGCATCAGGGCAAAGGGGGGATTCTGGTTAAATGGACCTGTCAGTATTCTTGCTAAAGGTGGGCCAAGGTGACCTAACATCACCTAAGGATATGGTGGAGAAGGAGGAAAATCACTATCCCGCATGAGGGATTCTGGTTAAATTGACTTAGCAGAATTCTTGTTAAAATTGGACAATGCAGAAACAAACACAAGCCCAAGAGTCAGGGCCTTCTGGGAAGAGGATTTAGAAGAGCATGACTGGTGTTTGGTCAAGGAAAGAATCGTCATCATCCATACTAATAGCTCTACTTTTACTTTCACTGGTTTACACACCACAATTTATTTATTCATCTGTTCTCTGTCAATCCACATTTAAGTGCAGGGAGTATCCTTGTGCCTGTGTGCTTGTGGATATGGTGGAGGGTCTGTGGCGTGAAGGATGTCCTGCTGCTCCCCACACTCACCCACTGTAAATATATCGATTTGATAGAGTTCTTTATTCTGTTCCATTGATCTATGTGTCTGTTTTCATGTCAGAACCATACCGTTTTGTTATAGATTTTTAGTAACAAATCTTATGTCAGTCTGATACCTGCAGTTTTGTTC